ACTGATTCTGTCTCAAGATTTAGCAGGTTTCCTCTGGCAGCTTTAGGAAGAATGGCCCAGAAGTACAATTCCAGCTGATGGGCTGTCTCAGGAAGAGGATGCTTGCATGGCTCATTTTAACACGTTTCCTGCCAAACATCCACATTTTCTAAAGGAAGGTGGACAGTACTGATTTTCAGGTGTGGGACGGTGCTGCAATGATTGCATGCTATGGACTGAGTGATGTTTACCCAAGACCCAAGCTTTCTCACAATGCTTATTTGCATGTTAAAGGCATTGAGGAATCACAGAATGTGCCGAATCCAAAGTCTTCCAAGCCTATCCTTCCGTGGGGCTTCCTTTTCCCATGTGATTTGGTTCCAAACAAGCTGGATTCAAATATAAGTCCATGGCTTTTGGGCCATTGAACTCTGAGTTAATCTTTTACTCCCCCAACCTCATCTCTAAATTGGGAGAGTAATAACACCTCACAGGGTGAGAATTAGATCAGATAATGTTTGTAAAGCGCGGCAAACCATTCCCTCAATTAATGCTACTTTCCTGTGTCCTCTTATTTATACTCTTCAAAAACTAACCATCTGTGAACACCAATGGTGGTGGACGTTTTAATGAGGTTCATTGTGGCCGGAGTGTAAGGTCCCAGTCTACCAAATAGTAGCACCTAATTTTAGAATATCTGCAGTGTCCTGGCATGGAGAGATGCTCAGAGGCAACCACAATGGCTATCATTTCACAGCACATTAGAGTGCATTATAGTATCCATATTCAATAAGCCTTAGAAAGCTTTGGCGAGAGGAGGATATAGTCGTGGACTCAATAGGGTTCTCTTCCATCTTTTAAAAGTTCTATTGAAAGTGCTGCATTGCCCTCATTAGCAGTGAAAAGAACCTTTAAAGCAAATCAAAATGAATGATGCTAAAAGTCCTTTCTTCCGGTGCCTATCTGGTTTGGAGGAGATACCTGTTCTAAATGAAAGAGAAGCATCCAAATATTACAGTTAAATTATGTCTTATATACAAATATAGGACAGGAAATAGACATAATATTTCAAAATACAAATAAATGTGAATTTGTTTACCATTTTATTAATAGTTCTTTTTTTTAACTTTTAATGATTTATTTATTCTTATTTTATGTGCATTGGTGTTTTGCTTGCATGCATGTCTGTGTGAGGGTGTCCGATCACCTGGAACAGGAGTTACAGACAGTTGTGAACTGCCATACGGGTGCTGAAAATTGAACCCAGGTCCTCTGGAAGAGCAGCCAATACTCTTAACTACTGAGCCATCTCTCCAGCCCCCTTAATAATAGTTCTTAAGGTTATCCTCTGATTGGGACTATGTCTCCAAGTTGGAAAAAACAGTCAAGTATGCATTTTAGTTTAGTATTTTAGATACCAAACACTGTATAGATTATCTAGCAATTTTGTGTAAAAATTGCTAAGTAAGCAGTTGTTTCCTGAGGGATGGTATATCAGAGTAGCCTGCGGAGCCTTACTGTGTAGATCTTGCCAGATCTGCTCACCAGGTCTGCTGGAAGTTGTGGCTTGCATCCCAGGCTCTGTGTGATACCTGGGCGTCTTGCTATGGAGGCAGACAGACAGATGTTCTGCTTTGTAGTTTCCTCAGGACTCTGCCATCCTGATCGGAATAAGTGCTGTCTGGAACCCCCAAGAGACCCCGGGGACTTTTTGTTATTTCCTGAATTCCTGCAACTGTCCCTCCCCCAACTCCAGGAAATCAGATCAGAGCAAGTGAGAGATCCCTGTAGCTTTGGCGTTTTGCCTGTCAAAAGTTCCTAATCATGAGACTATTATTGGAATGCATTATTTTCACATTTCTTTAAACTTCTCAAAGAAGCTCTGAGAGATCCTGAATTTCCTAAGCCTCATATGAGATCAGAACTCTCCAAATGGAGCTTTATAACCAGGTACTCTTTTCTTTCCTTCCTCTCCTTTCCCCTTCCAATCTGTCATTTTTCTTTCAATTTTTAATCTAGCATACAATATAATGAATTTCACTATGGCATGTCCCATCAGTATTCTCATCAAAGTGATCAGAATTGAATTTTTGAATGTCAATGAAGACACGCTCTTACCTTGGTTTTTGTCTCCTTACCAATCTGGAATGGTTCAGAATTCTATTGCCCATGCCCGAGCTACAGGAGACCTGTCTTAAGGATGTTTCCTATGCATGTGTAGATGATACACGTGCACTCACTTTTATTCACAGAACACATTGAGAGCTAGGCGGCGGCGGTGATGGTGCACGCCTTTACTCCCAGCACTGGGGAGGCAGAGCCAGGCGGATTTCTGTGAGTTTGAAGCCAGCCTGGTCTACAAAGCGAGCTCCAGGACAGACACCAAAACGACACAGAGAAATCCTGTCTCGAAAAACCCCACATTGAGAGCATTTTGGACATTCTTTTGGGTACCTTAATATTCAGTAACAAAGATGGAATGGTGACAAGTTGCTATGAAAATATCCATCTCCAGAAATATTCAGAGCTATCAATTCACTCAGTGGCTTTTTTTTTTTTTTTCATTTTGAGGCAGACCCTTCTCTAGGGTTGGTTTTATTCTTTGCATAAGAAGAAGAGTTAGTGCTCTTAGAGCCTGAAGAATAGGCTTATTTTTACATCTTACCCCTTATGTAAATGTTCACACTCAGCAGTTGTTTGGATAGAAGTGAGTTAGAGAGAGAGAGAGTGAGTGAAAGAAGAGAGTTAGGAAAGTTTGCTAGCCCTCTAACTTGCACCTGTTATGGGTCCCTAATACCGTCTGCGCACAAACTCTTAATTTAGATGCCAATTTTACTGATATACTTGGCAGGACAATTTTAGAAAACACTTTGGATGAGAGTCTGTAATAGCTCTTTCCTGGTGGGTGCTGACTGTTGTCTCCCTAGATAATTTCATCTTTAAGGCTGTAACAAAGGTGTTTGATGGTGTAGTCTACTGAAGTTGAGAAACGGGGTTAGTACTGATACAATTTCAATTCAATGGAAATGTGGTGGGTGTTGAAATAGATCTTTAAAAATATTTATTATTTTATTATTATTATTATTATTATTTGTGTGTGTGTATGTATGTATGTATGTATGTGCAGCACATGTATAGAGCAACCCGTAGAGGTCAGTAAAGAGCATTAGATCCCCTAGAACTGGAATCACAGACAGTTGTCCCTCATCATGGTGCTAGGAACAGAACCAGGATCTTCCAAAGGCAGGAGACACGCTTTACCACTGAGCCACCTCTTCAGCCCCCGAAGTGAAATGATCTTGAGAGATCTCAGTAAAACTGTGAAGACTGGGAGATGTGCTTGGGAAACAATTCCTGCACAGGGTCTCCTTTCTCAGACTGGGTGTGCATGGCAGAGCCCGTGGTTAGCATGCGTGAAGCCCTCCCACACTGAACATGAATGTAGACACACACACACACACACACACACACACACACACACACGCACACGCACTTGCACATGTGCACACACCTAAAATAAATGAAAATAAAAGGATATATCCCTCAATAGATGGAACTTCAAAATCCTTACATAAAATCCACTTAAATAACCTGAGAATTTGTGGATTTTCTTTTTCTCTTGCCCTCCATCATACTAAGCTTATTTATTTCCTAGTCCTAGGTTATCTTATCTTAAAAGTACATTTTATTCCAAGAAAAATTTATTTTCTGTTATTCACTAAATCGATGTTTTTACCAAATCAATGTATGTCTCTTAGCATTTACTGCACGTTCTTGTTTTTATTGCTGAAAAGATTCTGGTTCGACTCTTGGAATTCTTATCACAGTGTGTTTACTGAGTTTTCAGTCAGCTTTCTCAGGATTAAATTGTCTTTCACTTTTAAAGGCAGCGCGATGTTAACCAGGTTTCTTTCCACAGACAATTGCTCTGAGTTCATGGGTCACAGCAGCCTCAATGACTATACTGCCTTCTTTTAAACTTGTATTTTAGTTAGCTAATGCATGCACTCACTTAAGGGAAAACTAGAAAAGTAGAATAGTACACACAAAAAAATGATCCAAGTCCTACTCACCTGCTCCTGTCCTACAAAAAAATAAATCCAAATCCTCCTTACCGACTCTATCCTATGCTACCTGCCACAGTACTAAATACTCAGCTTGGAGTCATATACAATAACTTTGAAGACAGTAACTTATTAATCAAAACGATAGCTTTACATTTACAGAGCCTTCAACATACATTATATGGTTTTGCCTGTGCCATATATAATAGAAAAGGAAACAACGAATTCACGAAAAAAGTGTCTGTCAACTATCCCGGGAATGTTTTACATTGGGCATAATTGGCCTAATCATTCCGTAGCCCCCACAGCCATGTTTCAGAAGAGATAATAAAGTTGGTATGGTCACAGGAATAATAGCTAACAGGTGCCTGATACCTTGGGATTTAGGAGGCCATCATTGCAAACTTTAGATTATATGTAACCTCCCCCCATTTCTTCCTCTTCTTTAATTGTTAGCTCTCTACTTTGTACAAGGTACCAAGTTGAAGCGACTGTCCTGTAAACATAATGAAGTCAAGACCTAACCCTTCACTCTTAGAATTAAGCCTCTGTATAGGACCCTCAGCAAACTCAATGAAAACAGAGTATCCATATACTGACATAGCCTAGATCATTCGTTCTGTCCTTAAGACTCTTTGCTGAAAGATCAAACCAGTTTGTTTGTTTGTTTGTTTGTTTAACGAGACTGGGGATGAGTGAAGTTATTTGGAAGTTTAGTGCAATCCCCTGGAGCGGTAAAGAAGAGGTTAAGAGGGACCTGGAGGATTTTTGAAGTCTTTGGTTTGGGAGGTTCCATTTGGAAAAAGGTGCAGGGGAGACTCGGATGGCAAGGGACCCAAGACAAGTTCTCATTCGCTTAGATTTCTGCTCCTGTGTAGTTGAAAGCTCACCTGAGGGCGCAGTTGGGCACTCCGGGCATGTAGATGGAAATATTAACAAGCAGAACTTGTCTGAGCAGCGCCAGCGAGGACATGGCAGGGATCGCGCGTCCCCTTTAAAGGTTCCGGAGCCGGGCTGGAAAGGGAGGAAACCCGGGGCGGCAGGGACTGAGGGGGAAACCCACAAGCTGCCGAGCCTAGAGGAGGCAGCGTGAGAGCAGAAACTTCAGACGCTGCAGCCCCCGGCGGAGCTCGGGCGAGCCTCAGCAGCAGCATCCTCCCGCTTGCTTTTCCCCACCAACTCGCAGCCGCCTGGAGCTGCCTCTCCGAAGCTTCCAGGAGCACCGGGGTGAGAGCAGCCACCCCGGGAAGTTTGGACTGCAGCTTGGTTTGGAGGTGCGTTCCGCGCGCCCCAGTGGAAGCAGGACCCGGGGCGATGCTGAGTGCTGCGCCGGGCTGGGGGCGCCCGGAAGGCGCGCGTGCATCCGCGGTCCTGTTGCGGTCCCCGGTGCTCTCCGCATCCCGCGAGTGATGGGCACAAGGGCCCGCCCAGGCAGCCGCTATCGCCGTACCGCCCCTTCGCTCCCTCCTGGCGCACGGAGTCACCCAGGCGCACCCCGTGAACCTCGAGACTGTCCTCTCCAGCTGCCGCCGCTACCTTGACTGCAATCACCGCCAGAGGGGGTGGCTGGCTACGGGACTGGCTCTCTCCTGTAGACGGAGGAGCACTTTTTTGGGGGCCCTTCTTCTTCTTGTGTTCTCACACCCCAACTTTGCAATCGCCGCGTAGCGGCGCCCGGGCACACGTAGTGGAGGCGCACGCCGGGAGGCTCAGCAGGACTGTGGAGGCAGGAAACCGCACAACTGCGCCTCCGTTTCGGCTCTTTGTTGTTCGCCTTGGATGATCCTTGAAAGTGGCTGAGCCTCCTCGGAAACCCAGGGGCCAGGGAAGCCAAACCTTGGAATTTTCCTTTGCAAAGGGCTCTGAGGGATTGACAAGCCTCCGGAGAGGTCGACGGAAAAACTGCCCTGCAAACTCTTGGCGGATTGACTCACGTTGCTTATATTAAGCCTTTGTGTGTAGGGTGTATGGTGTGTGGCTTCCATAAATTTGGAGATCCCCGCTTCTGCTCCCTTCTCTTGGCATGAGACTGTATGCAGGACCCACCCGAGGACAATGATCGCGGAGCCTGCTCACTTTTACCTCTTTGGATTAATATGTCTCTGTTCAGGTAACCTGCGTCCTCTTTCTTCAGCCTTGATCTGCTTTGCTTGCCCCCCACTCCACTGTTCATAATCGAACCCTGAATCCTGAACTGACTCTCCGGCGACCTCTCCCTTCTAAGGCCAGAGGGGCTCGACCCTTTCAGAACTTCTACAGGAAAAGGTTTCTGGTTTCCCATTTGAGGTTGCCCATCTGGCCTATCACTCCAAACTCCCCTGAAATCTCCCCAGACCTCCTGGTAGAGATCCTGGCCTTTCACCAAGTTCAGGGCACGCCCAGCTTACTCCGGGGAGACGCTTGTCTAACCACTTGGGTGGGAGGAGGCTGCGGGTTGTCCCCAAGTTTTGGTCCCCAGAATGAGGCCAAAGTATCATCCATCTGAGGAATCCTGAGGGGTGCTGGAGTGGAGGGGGGGAGTTGTGTGTGTGTGTGTTGGGGGAAGGGGGGAGTGTGGCTTGTGATCCCCACTCCCCAGGAACCCAGAATCTGGTCCTCCAATCCACTCCTCCTCTTCGGAGCTCAAGGAGTTGTTAGAAGTTGTTTTATGTAACCAAAGTCTGTAATTAAATTCGATTCCGAAGAAACTTGAGGAAATAACTCCTGCTCATGGTAGGCTCTAAACTAGCCACTGCCTGGCTGGGTTCAGAAGGGAGACAGGAGGTTGCAAGTGTCTGAAAGGAACAGTAAGTTGCCGGGTAGCCCTTATTGGCGAGACAGAGCAGAAGGCTGCGTTAGTATTTGTAGGGTGAATTAAATAGTTCTGCAACTCCATGGGAAGTGCTGGGAAGATGCTGCTTAAGATACCTGCCGGCCTAAGAGCAGGCATGCTGTGGGGGCTTGCAAACAGTTTTCCTGTACTCCTTATGAAGCTTCAACTATGGATGACTGAACTGAACCGTGGACTCAACTTTTGTTTCTTCCTTTGCTAAGTTCTGTTTTCAATCACGGATCCGGTTTCAGGCCTACACACACACACACACACACACACACACACACACACACACACGCACGCACACTGCACCTTGGGGGATTATTATAGTCACATACTGAGTGTGCTTCAAGTTGCACCAGGGCCTAAATGGTGGAGTCACTTAATTTGCATAATTATGAAATAATTTTGAGGCTAGCTTGAACATTTGTGGCCTATGGTGACGCTTTACGTTTAGATCAAAGGTTTTTCTTAAGCCAAGAGGCTACAAAAAGAAAAAAAAAACCCACAAGAACTAAATGATAGTAAATAAGTTCCTAAAAGAATGTAAGCTCCTGAGAGATGCTTCCTTGGCTGGAAGTTAAAAGGCACATTTGAACTAAGCTAAATAGGAAACACACCAAGTTGTTACTCCTTTGAAGAAAACAGAAATTGAAATTTCGGCCTTGCCTATCTTCTCTATGTCACAGTGGATGGATGAGAAGCTTAAACCAACTCTTTGGGGGCCCTTCCCCCCTACTTCCAACTTCCCCTTTCTCTATGGCAGCCTTTCTTCTAGGTTTGCATATCTAGATGACTGAATAGTTCCCCACTCCCCATTCTCAGCCATGGATGCAAATAAAAATCATTAAGATCTTCTCTCTCTCTCTCTCTCTCTCTCTCTCTCTCTCTCTCTCTCTCTCTCTCTCTCTCTCTTCCCCCTCTTTCTCCCCTTAGTTTTAATTTACAGCCTCAGATACCTCTGAGAATTTTTTGTTGATTCACCTTCTCTGTTAAGGTTTGTTCACGTGTGTAAAGGAAGGTGTCAATGTGATGAATGACTGGAGGGGCAGATTACTGAAGATAGGGGGATTAATGGTCATTAGTCACTGTTGGAGCTGAGTTTGTGTATGTTGGGACGTTTTATCATGGCTGTAGATTAAAGATAGGGTCCCACTGATAGGGTATCCCTGAAAGCTGGTCCTGTCAGCCATCAAATTCTGTCTTCACTTGGGAAATATGGGGAGGGTGGAGTCTTTGCTCTCGTTTAATAATAATCTGAACAGTACTTAATATCTGAGCTCCCAGTTTGAATAGATGTGGGATGTGTTTAGAATCTTAGCGCTAACAAGATGTCTTGGCTTCGTTTTCACTAAATTTCTGTGTGCGCCGTTGAGTTGGCGCCAGGTTTCTGTCTCATCGTGTTGCTGGTCTACTTTGCCAGGTTCTAGGCCAGAAGTGGCTTTGTGGCCCTTACTCCTCACTCACATTTTACCTGAAGCTTTTCATTCCTTTGCTAACTTTCACTTAGGCTCCAAGTCTGAACTTGGGAGGCCAAACCATTGGGCTCCTGGGGTGATTTCATGACCCTGGGCTGCTGTAAAGCACCATGATTGATTTAAAAAGAAAACAAAAAACAAAAACTTTGCAGAGTTAGGTAAGTAACTAGTAACTTGGATGTACCCAAGACACCTGGTCAGGGAGTGAATGAAGTTCTTGAAAGGTTGTGTTTCATGTTTTGCCTCCAGCCTGAGATCACAGTCTAGCACTTGTTAATGGAGTGTATTTAGGAGAAATGTGGTGAGCTCAAATAAATCAAAGTGTACTGAGGGGATAAGGCGCCTCCGACAAGATTTAACCTGTAAAAGCATCTATTGATTGTCAGTTCTTTTTTTCTCTCTTTTTTGTGTTTAATACTGGCTGCCAATTTAACAAAGTCTACAGTTATCTTCAAAGACATCACAAACTCTGTGTTGGTGTGTTGATGGCATATTGAGTGTTCAGTATTAAGCTGGAGAGTGTTTGCTTTTATAGCCTTAAAAAAAACCCTTAATGCTATAAAAAAAAAATACAGATTCAATGAAGCAGAAATTTGGATGTAAAGTGGGCCTTTCTTTGGCAAGTCATTTTAAAGGTGACTCTATCTAATCGGTTGCTATACCTGTGTTCTTCTTGCTTATGGATATATATTTTGGGGGTGAGGCAAGGAACATGAGGGGCAACTCGGAAAACAAAATAGTGCTGTGAAGTCTCTCAGGAGCTCAGCCCACATGTGCCGCCATAAACATCTTACTAAGCTCCTGGCTCAAACTTGCTTTCCTGTGAAGAAATGATTGAATTTCCATCAAACGTGGGGTGAGATCTGGATTTCAAACACAGGGGGAGTCCCCCAGTGCTCTCTCTTTCCTCCTTGTGGAGGTGTGCTTCTTTACACATCTTTTGGTGAGTTTCGTGGTTTGGGACAGTGTCTCCCCCCCCCCACACACACACTCTCTTTTGGATCTCTTCCTCCTCCTCCCCTCTCTCATTCCATTTCTCCCCGCTCCTCCCCACATGAGTTACTTCAGCCCATGTGGATTAGTTTTTAAATTTTGAAAATGTATCCTTATTGTGTGGACGTGGGGTGTGTGTGTGTGTTTGCGTGTGTGTATGTGCCCGTGTGAGCGTGCAGACGGGCAGCTTGCACGCACGTACAGATACTCAGGTGTCATGGTACACTTGTGGAAGTGAGAGGCCGAATTTCAGGAGTTTTGATGTAGTCAGTGTCTCTTGTTTCTGTTCTTCCGTGCATTGGGTACTAACTGGCTTCAAGCCCCTGGGGAAGCTTCCTGCCTCTGCTTCATAGCTCACTCCAGGAGTTCTACGATTACAGATGAACTAACTAATTCAGCCTTTGTACATGGATCCTGGGGAATCATACTCATATTGGCAGGCTTAGGTGTTTCATCGGCTGGACTGGCTTGCTGACCCATATTATCATTATTTTTTAATTTTTTTTTTTTTTTTTTTTTTTTTTTTTTTTTTCGAGACAGGGTTTCTCTGTGTAGCTTTGCGCCTTTCCTGGAACTCACTTGGTAGTCCAGGCTGGCCTCGAACTCACAGAGATCCACCTGCCTCTGCCTCCTGAGTGCTGGGATTAAAGGCATGCGCCACCACCGCCCGGCCTATTTTTTAATTTTTTAAACATACAGTCTTGTTGGATTTTAAATATAAATACCTAAATTCTTGATATTTTAACAAATATCTCTATCCCCTGATAATGGGTCCTCTAACACTTAGGATTTGTGACTGAGCTGCTGTAAAAGAGAATGTTTACCTGAAGATGTCTTTCTTGAGTTTTACTATGACAAATGAAATATTCTCCTGTCAAAAGTGGTATAAAACACTCTGTTTCAACTAACAGTGACAATTGTTTACTTATTTTTTATAGTGAGCAGATTTTAGCTATAACAATGTTTATAATGGAAAATAGCTGGGTTCCAGGAATGCAATTGGAAGGAAATTTAGGAATACATTATTCAGTGAAGGTCCTAAATGGTTGAGCCCTCATCTGTTAACTTCTGTGTTCGTAAAGGATGCTAAGGCAGGATTTACGTTAATTTTTCAAATCTATTTTTGCGTGTGTGTGTGTGTGGTGGATGCACGTGTGTGTGGGGGTGTATCTGACTTGGTGCACGTGGTGTCCAGCGGGGACATCAAACATCCTGCTCTGTTACATTCAGCCTGATTCCTTTGAGACAGGTTCTCTCCTTGAACTCGGAACAAAGCTGGCAGGCAGCAAACCTCAGCGATCCCTGTCTAGACTGCCCTCAGCCCTGGGGTTACAGGCTCTGCCCCACATCTTGTGTGGGTGCTGGGAATTCGAAGTTAGGTCCTCAGGCTTGCACAGCAAGAGCATGCTGAATCATCTTGCTAGCCCTTAATTCCTTTAAAAAATGTTCAGTTGTTAACACAGAAATGGAAACCGGCCTGAAAACTTGATTTTTTTTTTTTTTTTTTTGATGTTGGAAATTATAAGGAAATCAAAGTTAGGCCTAAGATAATCTAGAGAATATGTAAATTTGGGAATAAGAAAGGGCAAAGAGAAAAATAGAGCATAAGTTTAAAGACATGCAGTAGAGGATGAGATCCGTAATTATAAGGTGTTTGTTTGTTTGTTTCTTTGTTTTGTTTGCATGAGACAGGGTCTTATTAAGTAAGATCTTATTAAGTAAGGCTGGCTGGAACTCACAGAGATCTGCCTGCCTCTGCCTCTCAGATGCTAGGATTAAGGCCTAGCCCTTAATCTAGTTAAAATACATGGAGAAAGTGTGAGGTGG